CGGCACACTAGTGTGCCGCGGCACAGTGGTTGAAAAACACTGATCTAGATAAATCATTTGCCATAAAGTTCTTTCCCCTAGGAATGTAATGCAAAGTAAACTTTAAACAGTTTTAAAGTATTTCACCCAATGAACTTGGTGATAGTTTCTGCGGAGTTTTCATGGCTTCCAGGTTTTTATGGTAAGTCCACACCTCAAAAGGGTAAACACCTTGCCCCTTCAAGGAAATTTCTCCAAGTTAAAGTGTCCATCAGACTGCAAATACTTCCTTCTCCCAATTTGTCCATCTTCTCTCAATTTCCGTTTTCTATAGGTATAAGTGTAGGGTGGTAGGGCCCCTTTGTCATTAGCTTGCAAGAGCATGGTGTCCACCACCACATCACAGGCATCAGCCTGGACAAGAAATTAGGCATCTGTGCTGGTGTGTTTAAGTATGGGTTCAGCCGCAAACAGCCACTTGAGTTTCTTGAAGGTTGCTTGGCATTCCATCAACCACTCAAGGGGACAGATATGCTTGGGTTTGCTTCTCCCTTTGTCTTCAGAAGATTGGTAATGGGTAATGCAATCTTGGCAAATGAGAGGATGAATTATCTATAAAAATTTGCAAAACCCAGGAATCTTGGCAAGTGCTTTCTGGTGCGAGGGGGCACTCATTCCAAGACCGCTCGCATTTTCTCAGGGTCCATCTCTATCCCCTTATGCGATATACGATAACTCAAATAGTCAATTTTGTCCTGGTATAATTCACACGTAGACAATTTAGCATACAGTTCAGTGGCCCTGAGTTTGTTCAGGACTGCACGGACTAACTTCACATGTTACTTCATAGTTTTGATGTATATAAGAATGTCATCTAAGTAAACTAGGACCCCCTTGTCCAAAGCTCATGCAGCATTTCATTGATCAATTGCAAGAATAAGCAGGTGCCCCTTGTAATTCAAGCGGGAGCACCCTGAATTATAAGCAGTCCAAAGGGCAATTGAAAGCAGTTTTCCACTCATATCCCTCTGTAATAAGTTTCCCTCGAGTCCAGTTTAGTAAAGATTTTTCCTTTGGCCCGATGTGCCATCATGTCCTTCATTAAGGATAGCGGGTAAACATTCTACAGACACACTGCATTGAGCCTTTTATAATCCACATACAGATGATGAAGAGACCCATCTTTTTTCTCATGAAACAACACTGGGGTGGCCACCTATGGCCTAGCTGACTGGACAAAGCCCCACTGTTCCCTTCTCCTGGCAGCTCTGTACATGCACATATCGGGAACAGGCTCCAGTTGTTCTTCCCCACTGATCTCTGACTTTGAAGGCAGCTGATAACGGTGAGATGGCCCTGGTCCCATCTTTGCCTCTGATGCAGAGCACTCATCAGAGCTTTCCTCAAACTTCAGGGCTGGCCCATGTTCCTCCCCAACCTCCTCACTGTCTGAATCTGCCACCAGCTCCACTGGCCGTTGGTGGGCCACCCATAGCTGGGGGACATTATTGTTGTGAAGAGTAACCATCCAATTTGCTGTAACCCCTTCCAGGGCCATGGTGACTTATCTCACTTTGGCTGCCTCCAATCCAAATTCTTCTCAATACTCCTCCATGTGATTCTAGACTTGAGCTAGGAAAAATCCCAGGGCTTTCGGATCCCCTCTGTATTTCACTCCCAGCGGAGGAACCTTAGGAATTTGGTGCCTCGGGGATGCCCCCCTGCTGGGAGGGCCTGGGCTACAGCAGCAGCTGTTGCCAGGGCAGGGGCTGCCAAAGCTGCCCCCTGTGGAGTGACAGGGGCCTCTGCTGTGGTTGAGATAGCAGCTCCCCCTGCTGCCTCACCGGCTTCTCGGTGTACTGATAGGGCATTCTTCTGTGCAGGGATCTTCCATACATCCCATGCCCAGTGACCACTTGGCTCAGACTGGTATCTCCTTGACTTGCAGCTCCTTCAGCTGTTCTGTCTCCTCACAACACTGGTATCGCTGTGGGGAAGTCGACCCCAGAGCTCCAGACTCTTCTTAGTTGCTCCCGTGTGCTCACCCCCTAGGTAGACTGGGGTCTCTGGGTTGGCTGATAAAACAGATCTTGCCTAATGTCAGACCTGCCTCAATTCAAAACCCAATAACGAAAACCCCCAACTCCTTTGAGATAGAGTTTAAAATGATAGCAGTGAAAGCAAGGCAAGATTTGATGCAAAACACATGAAAGTTACAGATTGAAAGTTTCCCCAAGTCACTTCCCCCAGGGCCCAGTGCTGAGGGTCCAATCAACATCCAGTATGATGCTGTGTGAAACTCATCTTTAGGTATTTCACCCATCTAGAGTCTTTGGACATTTGGCCTTGACAGGGTGTAAACAACTCCACTCAGCAGTGCAATAATTTTTGAGAGCAAATCTGGCTGTTCTCCTAGACCTTGATTGAGGATAAATGTGATCCCTTTTTACATATGTTTTTTTATATATGGTACGTGCTGATTTTTTAAGATGTTATATTAGAGTATCATTTTAAATTGTGAATTATCCAGAGTTGATACAGCATGGCAGCATCTAAATCTAAACAAATACATTATTCTTATTTTCTAAATTTGTACCCTGCTCTTCACCTTGGAGATCAATATGGATAATACCCCTCATATTTTCTGACAACAGTTCTGTTTACTAAGAGTCACTGGTCCAAAGCCAGTCAGTGATCTTGCATTATTGACAGTGGAAAGATTGGGGTTGAGGATTGGGACTCTCTAATCCTAATCCAATGCCATGATCTCTGTACTATGTAATAGGACTAATTAGAACAAAATGTCAGGTTTGTATTTTCATGTATAAATTTGTAAGGGAAAACTCTTAGAATCCTTGGAAATGTGTTAGTGAGGACATAAACGGATACTATTGTTGTTAACTATTATGTAAACCAGCACACCACCTCAGAAAGGAAAGGCATCTTCTTTTTATACCAAAAGGACAGGAGATAAAAAGCACTTTCAATAGCTATAAATAGATTCCACATTTAAAAGGAAAGGATGTTTTTTTTCCTGAAATTCTTGCGTTACCCTGCAATTTGATTTCTAATGAACCAATTAGTCCTAGTTCAGAGAGAAATGTCCCTTGCTGGTTTTTTCCCCCAGTTCTGATTGTTGCTGGGATGATGTGACAGAATTATTTTAGAAAAAAAAAAGTAAAATCTGTCTTCATGACTTCTATTTGCAATTTCTACTGTGGTATTTCTCTCTTGATGAAATGTTGACTCTGCCTTTTTACATGTTATGTCTGACAAATAATTTACAGAAAATACTCTCCTGTGTCACTATGTCTAAACATGGAGGATGAGAAAGAACAGTTTACCTGGACACTGAGAGCAACAGCAACGGCTCCAGGTGCCATACTGGTTTCTATGAGAAATAAAATTGAATCTAAACTATAAAACATATCTGGAGATATTTTTATGAACCCATTGTGCAGATGATTTGAGACTTCCCAATTCATTACTAAAGTAAGAGCTAGTGCCTTAGTTCATAGTCCAAATTGCCGATAGCAGCGTGCCTACTGGCCAGATATGGCTAGTGCTAAGGGGTGAGTATGGGTACTTAAAAACTGCTCATCTGGTCATACTATGAGCAAGGCATTAATTTATTAACTCAGATCACTGGATGAGGTCCATGTACTTCATCTGACTGTTTCTTTTAGTACCTAAGAAACTATTGGAGATTTACCCTGGAGGAGACTCATGTGGTTCCAATCTTGTTTTCTTCAGTTCCTGAAGGAACATGTTGAATGGAGCTTAAATTAGAAAAGTCTCTAGGTTTGTATAGCTCTTGCACTTTCTCAACAGTAGTGGTATTTATATTTTATTGCTACCATAGATCTCCTAATCCTCCTGAATTCCACTACCCTGACCCTCTTATGTCTAAGTGATGATGTTTTTGACCCATTTTTGGCTAATAGATATGCTGTTTCCCTAGCCAGGTGGTTCATAGTATATAAACATGCAGCATAGAGATATCTGGCAGTAGTAGGGATAGACCTTAGAGAAGAAAATGATAATCCAGCATACATTTTTTTATTTCTCTAAGGGTCATGGCGAAGTCTGATTGTTTGAAAGATAAGCATCAGATTCTTGTGGAGACCCTTTATATTAATGGATTAATGTTAATAACTTTCAAAAGAAAAGCAAGTAATATGTGTGTCAGCGTTCCAAGTATCCTGTAGAATTAAATCAGAGTCCAAAGCAAAACGATCCTTAAAGTTCTAATTTAATAAAGCAGACATTTTAGCACATCTGTGTAATCCCANAATCATACCATAAGCCTCAATGATCTAGCCTCAGCTGCCTATGGGCTTAATTGACACCTAACATTTAAGTTGATGTTTAGAATACAAAATGTAAAACAAAAGAATGAACTGAACAAGTTCATTCTTGCTCAAATAATAAGAAATTATTTAGTAAGAGTTCATAGGCTTTGGTAGGTTATTTCAAACCCGTAGGTAAACTTTTTAGTTTCTTTACTTTACTGTCCTATTTCTTGCCAAACTGAACAATTGCCGCAATCCTAAACACTGCCTGCAAGGCTGCCTTTTAAACTAATGATGCTCCTCCTATTGTCTCTTTCCTTTCCTATTTATTTTTATTTGTAGATTCAGAACTGGCACTAATGTATAATGATGCATCGGTGTTGGAAAATCATCATTTGGCAGTAGGATTCAAACTCTTACAAGAGGAAAACTGTGATATTTTCCAGAATCTTTCTAAGAAGCAAAGACAAATGCTCCGGAAGATGGCCATTGACATGGTGAGAAGCTTTGTTGGTTATGGTTATAATTTTGAATGAATCACAATATTTCAAGTGAGATGACAGGTGTTTATTGAAATGCATGAGACTGATTATTTTGATGTTGAAAGCTGTTTCAAGGAGGTTGTTGTTTAAGAATAAATTAATCACATACCGGTAGTTAAGGAATTAGGATGAGATTTTACTATTTTAAAAGCTTGGCAGACCTGTTTGAAAGAAAAGTTCCTTTATCTCTTGGGAAGTTTACATTTTTCCTAAGTTTACATTCTTCTCTTAGGAAGTTTCTGTTGTGCCATTTCCAATCCCCTGAAAAATAGTTGCTTGGCTTCGGTCAAATATAATGGAAATTCAGAGTACATTGTGGCTTCATCATTTGTGGGGGTGAACTTATTCAGAGTTGCAATTTTGTACTTAGAGGACATTCTAACCCTCATCAGGATTTAGGCAAGAAGATGAAAATCTAATGATCATTTTTATTCTTGGGGCTCTAATTAGAAAAAAAGCAATTTATCATTAATAGGGAATGGTGAATGAAACCCAAATATAACTAAAACTGTTAAACAAAGATGTCTATCAAACGCTCCAGATGATGTCCATGAACATGCGATTGAAACCCCATTCCATTTCTACATTTGTCATTTGCAGCATAGTCACCATCTTGGCTTTTCTAAAGAATATGAGGGAAATGAAGTGAAATGAAAAAAATATGTTGTGTGCATCTAAAACTAAAAATCCACCCAAACAGCTGCTTTAACATGCATTCCATTGTGAGTTGGCACAAATGTATGGTGGCATAAATTGCTTTGTCACAAAAGTTAATCTCTATTTACTCTAGGAACAAGCAGTGCTGTTCTGATAATTTTAAAATGGGACAAATTAAAGAGATCAAACGGTTGCACAGTTTCCATTCCTACCTGCTAAGTGGGAAGAATAATGGCCCATTTTTCTCCAGAATATTGGGATGAGTTTTATTTACAGGTAGTCCTCCTTAACAATTGGGAACAGAAAGTCTGTTGTTAAGTAACATGGTTATAAATTGATAAAAACACATGACTGCATTGCTGTCCCAGTTGTCATTGTTGAGTTAGGACTGTGAGGGCCATTAAGCAAGGACCTCATGTGACTGCAACTTGCAACTTCCTGACAGCTTCCATGTTGATTTTGCTTGTTTGGAAACTGGCAGGGAGGGTTACAAACTGCAACCATGTGACCATGGGACACAGTGACAATCAGAAGTGTGGGCCAATTATCTGAAATGCAATCATATGACTGATGGGACACTGTGACCGCCATAACTTTGAGGATCTGTTGTAGGTTCCATTTGTTTAACACCTTTGTAACCATTGTAACTTCAAACAAACACTGTACGAATGTTCATTAAACAAGGTCCACCTGTTTTCAATTTTGATGCCACCTACCTCCATTAGTGTTTGAGTGACAGTAGCTATGAATCAATTATTTAGTACTTCACCTGAGCTAACATTGAAAATAAAATAAATACTCCTGGCCACCTTTGTTGATCTTTGCAATAAACCTACTGCTACCAACTCTTCCTCTATTCCCCATATTTAAAGAGTTTTCTTTGTTTAAAGAAAGGTCTAGTGATACAATAAGGAACCTCCAAAAGACCTGATGTGTGCTTTGATAAATGCCAGATTGCCAGTGCTCACAAACTGAGGGTGGGGGGGGTAGCAAGCCAAGAGCAATCAGATTCTGAGGGTGCCATGGTCACTGGCGAAATGCTAGAAATTGTATGCAGCAGGGCTTAGGTTGAGAGAAGATGGTAAGCATCCCTGTAACACTGAATCAACTAACTACAAAGTGAAGTGGGTTCAGCTGTGGGCTGAGATAAACTGAAGATAATGTGGGAGATCTCCTTAAAAATGGCTAACTGGGCATCTTCAAGCCACCATTAGAAGGCTGTTGGATGAGTCCTATGAAAATTAAATTGAATTGATTACTTTATTTGGCCAAGTGTGATTAGACACACAAGGAATTTGCCTCTTGTCCAGAAGTTCCCAGGATACAGACAAAGTAACAGAATAATGACCATCATCATCATCATACCAACAAGAGGGAAGTAAAGAAAATAATAAGATAATAAGGATAAATAATAATACTACAGCCATACTACATGAGTAAATATACATAGACATTAAACAGCACTGTGAGAATTAGATATTCAGCAGTGATAACTGAATGATAGAAAAAATGATGGCAGAATGATGGAAAAAGAAGAAAGGTTTAAAAGATCTGAATGAAGGAAGTAGGATCTGGTGCAGAGCTGAGGAATACATGAAGGAAAATGAATGTGCATATTTGATTATGAATGAAAAGATTAAAATGTAGTATGTCAGTATGAATTGGTGTCATCTAGTGGTGGTGGATGCATATGAAAATAAGTATCCATGTGTTGGTGACAGTTCATGTTACACTCTTCCAAATAGTAATAACATCAAACCCAGGGATTAGCGTTGGGGGAAAATGTGCAGTACTAAGAAAGTATGTAATCCAGATTGTTGAATACTAGCGCGGGAAATACAAGCGCGCGAACAAGGACTCTTCCTGATTGGCTCCCGGGCAGAGCCGGCTCAATCCTCGCCCTGATTGGTCGAGCTACAAAGGACTCTTCCTGATTGGCTCCCGGGCAGAGCCGGCTCAATCCTCGCCCTGATTGGTCGAGCTACAAAGGACTCTTCCTGATTGGCTCCCGGGCAGAGCCGGCTCAATCCTCGCCCTGATTGGTCGAGCTACAAAGGACTCTTCCTG